AGATCTGGGAGGCCCTCCAAAAAGGAAAGTGTAAAAATATGAGACTATTTGTATCAACATTATAGGGTGGTCTAAATTATACAACCCTGCACTTGTTACTACAACTCTGAAATCTGTGTGTATTTTGATTGTCTATTTGATTACATGTTGTTGAAAGGCAAATGACTGTTGTCAAACTAAGAGTGATGGTTTTATTGTAAAAGGCTTGGACAAAAAATCAGGGGTATTAAGTCCAGCACACTTGGAATAGGCCTAACCTAAAATATCTATACATCACTATTCATTAGTCAAAGAATGAAATACTTTAGTGATGCTTTGTAACCATGGATCCAAGAAGTTTGGGGACATGTTTGAACATCTTATCAACAGTGTTTATTGATAACAGTGCAATTGATCATTTATACCCATTCTCATTAAGACCTTCAGAGTCTGCTTGCCTGAAAATACGCCTACATATCTAGCACAATAGAAGAAACCTTGGCAGTAAATCAATTTTTGGCTGACAGGGTATTCTGGGCATATGTTGGTTCTTACGAGATAAAATTATGTCTGTACAGTGGATAACATTGGGAGCTTGTGCTTGACTTTTATCTAAACCCCTTGCTGAGGAGCAACCTTGGCTATGATGCAATGCATTATTTTTCCTTAATACACTAAAATTTGTAAGTATTGCTATTTTGGTCCTGAGTCTTCTTTGCAATTTAACTGTCACTATTAGTGCACCATATTCCTTGGAATATGGCAGTTCTGTAGTTTTATGCCTCGTGGCCACTTCTCAATACATAACCTTTTTCTCTCTCATGAGGTAACTACCCATAAGGCTTGGTGTATAATCTAGTTCTTTCTTCGTGTTGTTTATTCAGTAGTCTCTTTTGTTCCTGTGCTTTCAAAGTGTGCTTGTTGGTTTCTCCTTTTCTTGGATTCAGTGTACTCTGGCCACCAATAATCTTCTCTGGTTTCCTGAGAAGTCATACAGTGAAGTTTTATTCCTGTTTATCACAACAGGCTCGACTACATTCTACTTGTGCTGTGGGGCTATTATCTTCTATAAGAGGTACATGCCTATTTTTGAAAGCATGTTATTAATAGAACTGTTTTTCACATGTACTTTAATCAATTTCTCTCCCAGAGGTGTTGTTTTTATAAGAGTTCCTATTAGATTTTCATCCACACTTGTATAATATGCACTGTTTGTGTGTTACAACATATGCCCATGTGTTCTTGCTTCACTAGTAATTCTTAGTCTCTATAGTCCTTCCCTGGTTTAACTATTAATATATTATCTGGGAGTGACCATTTGCTCCTCATCTTTTATATAGCTACTAGAGGCCCAGTGCACTAAATTCATGCACTGATAGGATCCCTAGCATCTGCTGGCTGCTGGCCCAGTATTCCTCTTCCTCTCTTCCGCTGGCCAGCTCTGCCCCCTGGTCAAACTCCCAAATGAACTCCCAGTTGAGGGTACAATTTGCATAATATACTTTTATTATATAGGATCTCACTATGTCACCTGCCTATTGTTGACAGGCCCAAACCTAACTTTCTGTCTAATGATAACACACACACCCCTGTTTTGTGTTTATTTAATCCTAACCCTACAATATTTTTCCACTGATTTTTAGAGTGGAAGGAAGGAGAAGGGGGGAAGAGAGAGAAACATTGATGTGAAAGAGACACATTGATTAGTTGTCTCCTGCATGCCCAGGCTGGGGATGGAGCCTACAGCCAAAAAAAGTGCCACTGACCAGGAATCAAACCAGCAACCCTACAGTCAACAGTCCAGCACTCTAACCACTGAGCTAACAGGCTAGACTCTAGATGACACCACTCTTTTTTTGTGTTAGTACCATATAATTTATCAAAGCTTTAAAAGAAAAAACCCTATGCAGGCATCTGGCCGTGACACTCCCATTTTACTCTCAAGCCTGACTTATTTCTCCTATCATCTTAGATTTCTTAGTTATCACGGCTTGTCATTCTTTGTATCTACTGTTATTATCTGGGTCAATATAATAACCTCTGGGTTGATTGGCTCAGATAACGCAAACTTTCTTTCAGTCCTTTCGTTACTCAAAGTCCAGTCTCCAAAGATAAAGTTGATGTATAGAAGAGCTCAGCGATGTGGTTCGGGGACTGGGCCAGGAGGCGGCGATTTTGATTTCTGGTTAGGTCTCATGCCCAGGTGCGGGCTCACACCCCAGGGTGATGTGTGCAGGAGGCAGTTGATCAATGGTTCTCTCTCTTCATTGATGTATTTCTCTCTCCCTCTCCATTCCTCTCTGAAATCAATAAAGGTAAATATATGTTTTTAAAGATGTACAGAAGAGTTGAGCACCACTACCATGATGAGATGTGAAGATAAATAAAATCCTGAAGATAAATCCTGGGAACAAAGAAAAGGGCAATGATTCATTCATATTCCAATAAACACTAAAACCAAAACGTTGGATTATGAACTAAATCAGCATAAGACTCCAGGTGTTCTAGTTTTTAAGCTATTTTTATTGTCTCCAACACTAAAATATGAAATATATAAAAAGGATTTTGATCTTATTTTATATGCAACTTGATAAACTATTAGTTTATTCAAGAAATTTTTATCAAGTAGTAAGCATGGTGCTATGCTTTTAAGTTGAGGGATACTACCTCAACCAGGTGATCAAGTTTAGCATCGTTAATGATCATTCACATTGACAGCATATGCTATTAATGAGAATGGCATTTTTTTAACCTCTGTGATCTTCCTTCAAAAGTATAAAATGGTAACACCAGTGCAAACATAAAAATATACTAGAAACCCAAATTGAGAGTCTACAAAATACTCAAGTACTTCTCAAAACTGTCAAGTTAATAAAAATAAAAAATAAATAAAAAAACACCAAAAAAACCAGCAACCCTATTTCTCATATGGAAGGTATGAGAAATTGTCAAAGACCAGTGGAAGCTAAGAAATGTACTAGAGTAATAAAAGATGTTAATAAGGGGACTGTGTGAGGAGTATATAGGAATTATTGTTTTAATTTTTCTTTAAATCTATTATTCCAGAATGAAGTTAATTTTTTTAAAATTTAAAGTACTTTAATTTTCTAGGAATCAATAGTTTTCTGAAAAATCAAGCATGATTCATTTCCCTTTTGGCCCCTTGCAACAAACTCACATTGTATCGAATCGGCAGGGCCAAACATATTCTCTTAGTTGCTGGAACTCTCCTGCCACTAGGATTGCTAACTCAGTCTCTGGTGTGCTAGCCCAGGTGGTACCATCAGCCTCATCTCCTGGCTTTTTTCTATGGCAGTGAAGCCACTAAGTAAAGCGATAACAAGCCAGTCAAAGAAATACCTGCTTTTCCAATTAATGGTAAAGAACAAATAATAACACATAATTTTCTCTCACATAATATTAATAGGGAATAGAATATTTACTCAGGGAATCAACTGACATTGTCCACATAATCTATCAGATCACACTTGCAGAAAGCAACATGCCCAGTGTTGAGATAAAATTTTAGTGGTCCAGATTTTTAAAATGAGAAATTAATTTACTTTCTTCTCTGTGCTGACCAAACCATGTAGCCTGAAATTAGGACAGATTGAACAAATATTTTCTTGGCTAAGACTATAGTATATTTTGCCCCCCGCCTCCCCCCACCAAAAAAAAGCGAGTTCTTTTTAAGATTAATGCAGACTTCTGACATGAAAGTAGCCTTGATTTCATTCAAATTCTAAAACCTCCTACCCAAGCAGGGCAGAAATCAACTATAATAGTTTGCAATGCTGCATTATCAGCAAGCATCATAGGAGTGGGATAAAATCCTATATAGAATACTCAGGCTACATGTGTACAAGAAAGCTGAGACTTGCTTTATAATTACTCAGTGCAAAATGAAACACTAAAATGGCATAAAATGAAGGTCAAAAGAACACCTAAGAATCAACATCCACCACACACACAAAGAATCCTTGAGAAATCTTATAGTCCTAAAAAACAGGGTCAGACCAATATTCAGAGATCACAGGCATGCCAAAATCTAACAGCATTAAGCTCAGGGAATCCAAAGCAGCATAGACAGTCAATCAGAAAAGTTAACAGGCCCAGACCAAGTTTGGCTACTGCCTTCTATTGTTACAGAGACTCACAGATGTACCACATAACTCAGAGACTAGTCACAAACATTTATTAGTGTTGTCCACAGAATTCAACCTATTCTTCCATCTTTAAAATTTCCACAGTGAGTTTGTGCACAAGTATTTTCTATAAAACTTACGTAACATATAAAACAAGTTTTAGTACATCAGTTCTAGGTGAAAATTTTATTCATTTCTGAAACTGATACATTTTCTTAGAAAAAAAATTATCTGTTGCAAACTCAATGTGTTAGAAATGTACTTATCAAAATACAAGATTTTAGTCTAATCTTAATCATTTGATGTTTAATCAAGTTCACTTGGAAGTAAAGGCCTTTGAGTTTTTCCCTGAGATTTCTTTCATTTCTAATGCGGTCAGATTATTCAGGACATTGACAGAAGTTGCTTTCCATATACAATGACTAGGGGTCCAGTGCATAAAATTCATGCATGGGGGGGTGGGAGGGAGAAGGGGGTCCCTCAGCCCAGCCTTGCACTCTCTCCAATCGGAGACCCCTTGGAGGATGTCCGGTTGCCTGTGGGATAAGGCCCAAACTGGCAGTCAGACATCTCTCTCACAATCTGGGACCACTGGCTCCTAACTACTCACCTGCCTGCCTACCTGATAGCCCCTAACTGTCCTCCCCTGCCAACCTGATCCCGCCCCCAACTTCCCTCTGCTGCCAGTCTGGTTGTCCCCCTGCCCTGCCAGCCTGATCTTGACCAGTCTCTGTCTCTCTTTGTTTTTCTCAGCAGTCCTCCATGCCTCCCTGTGTCCCTCTTCCTCTTTCCCAGCTGGGAGGGGGTGGGGCCAGTGGGGGATACTCCACCCTCTGCCTGCCCTCCCTTCCACCCAGGCTTCTTCGGGCTGTCTGTTGTTTCCTCATTCTGAGAGAGGCTCAGAGGGTGAGCTGGGGGGAGGAAAAGAAAGGGAGAAAAGGCTGTGAGCTGGTGGGCGCTGTGTGTGTCTGCACGTGTGCAGTTGTGAGTATGAGTGCTGGCCCCACCTTCCCCATCCCTGTCTCCACTGCCACAGGTCCCCACCTACCAGACTGGGAAATTTAGACAAGCTTGTCTATTAGAAGAGGAAATAGTTAAAGGAAACAACTTGCCAGTCTTTGAGACATGACCTTCCCCACTATGTGTTTTCTAATACAGTATCAGTTTCTTCATAACTTCCCAAATTCATTACATGGAAGGTTTTTCTCTCCGGTGTGCCTTCTGTTATAATGTACTCTTAGAACTGCCTTACGAGCAAAAGTTTTCCCACATTCATTACATTCATGTGGTTTCTCCCCTGTGTGAATTCTCTGATGTTCTCTGAGAGTTGAATTGTGGGCAAAAGCTGTCCCACATTCATTACACTCATAGGGTTTCTCCCCTGTGTGAATTCTCTGATGTGATTTCAGAACAGATATACGGGCAAAAGACTTCCCACATGCACTACATTCATACAGTTTCTCCCCTGTGTGAATTCTCTGATGTTCTCTGAGAGTTGAATTGTGGGCAAAAGCTGTCCCACATTCATTACACTCATAGGGTTTCTCTCCTGTGTGAATTCTCTGATGTGATTTCAGACCAGATATACGGGCAAAAGACTTCCCACATACACTACATTCATACGGTTTCTCACCTGTGTGAATTCTCTGGTGGGTACTGAGATTTGTCTTACGGGAAAAAGTTTTCCCACATGCATTACATTCATAGGGTTTTTCTCCTGTGTGAATTCTCTGATGTGTACTGAGGTGTATCTTTCTGGAAAAAGTTTTCCCACATTCATTACATTCATAAGGTTTCTCCCCTGTGTGAATTCTCTGATGTGTACTGAGATGCGATATCTTGGAAAAAGTTTTCCCACATGCATTACATTCATAGGGTTTCTCTCCTGTGTGAATTCTTTGATGTACTTGGAGGGCTGAATTATGAGTGAAAGTTTTTTCACAGTCATTACATTCATAGAGTTTTTCACCTGTGTGAATTCTCTGATGTACTCTAAGGGTTGAATTATGGGCAAAAGATCTCCCACAGTCACGACATTTGTACAGTTTCTCCCCTGTATGAATTCTCTGATGGCTACTGAGGTGTGTCTTCTGGGGAAAAGTTTTCCCACAAGCATTACATTCATAGGGTTTCTCCCCTATATGAATTCTCTGATGTGCACTGAGGTGTGTCTTGTTGGGGAAAGTTTTCCCACATGCAATACATTCATGGGGTTTTTTGCCGGTGTGAATTCTCTTATGCACTCTGAGATGTGATGATGTCTTGGAGAATGTTTTCCCACATTCAATACATTCATTTGGTTTCTCTTCTGTGTGAATTCTCTGGTGTTCTTTGATCTGTGCCACCCTGGAGAATGATTTACCATATTCATTATTTTGATAGAGTTTAATCTCTGTGTGTGTTCGCTGATGTACTAAGAGGGCACACTTCTTGTAAGATTTCCTACATTCATTGTTATCATAAGGTTTATTTTTTGTGTGAACTGTCAGATGTTCACTGAGGTTTGACATTTGACAGAAAGTTTTCCCACATTCATTATCTTCATAGAGCTGGGCCCCGATATGAGTTCCAGGATAATGAATAGTGTGTGAATTTGAACAGAAGAATTTCCCACACTCCTCACATTCACAGGTTTTCTCCTCTGAGTGGGTCCTCTGATGCTGAATGAGGTATGCTTTCCGGTAAAAGAACTCACTGTATTCATTACTTTCAAATGACTTCTCTCCTATATCGTTTCCCTGATTTACACTGAAAAGTGAGTTTTCAAGCAAGGATTCCCGAAGTTTACCACAGTGATAAAATTTCTCTTCTGTCGGAGTTCTTTGATGTACTGTAAGGTCTAAATCCTGGGAGGAGGCCCTTGTACTTGTGCATCCATTAAAAACACAGACCTTATCTGCAGTTTGTGTCTTCCGATGTACCAGAAGGGCTGATCTTTGGGTCAAGTTTTCCTCACATTTACTGCTTTCAAAAGCAGTTCTTTTAACAGTTCTTGTAACAGTCCTCTGAGGTTGAATGAGGAGTAAATTCCTGTTGAAATTATTTCCACTTTCATTACATTCATAGTGTGTCATAGTCATCTGAACTTTATCATATTCCACAATAGTGGCTTTGTCACAGGATCTCCCACATTCATTAATATCAAAGCATTTCTCCCTTGGACCAGTTCTCCTGTGGTTAAATAGAGTTGCGTTATCACAGTTTTTCCCAAATACATCATCCTTACATTATTCCTTTCCTGTTAGAGAATTCTTAACTATAAAACAGACAAAAGTGTTATCATGTAAAACTTTTCCAAATTCATTATATTCAAAAGGTTGCTCCAAGTTGGAAATTTCAAATGATCTTTCTTATAACTGAGAGCGTTCATATTTTTATACTCCTAAGACCTCTCTTCAGGATGAGCTTTCTCATGTTTGATATCAAGCTGCAACTTTTCACATACATTCGTGTAATCAACCTTTCTTGAAAAGTTTCTATCATTAATAATTACGTCAGAAATAAGTGTCAACTTCATTCTATGTGAGTCACATTCACAGGCATTTTTCCTGAGAAATCTGCAGTTATATCCAGATTAATTGGTTTTCCTAAAACTATCTACCTTTCTTTACTCAATGGTTTATCATCAATGAATATTACTTGCCAAAGAGGTTTCTCTTGTTTTTCCTGGTTCTCCTCAATGTGGACATCAACTTTGTAATATCCTAAAATTAGAAACATTGAAAACACTTGTGAATCTTAAATTTCTTATTATGAGGAGCTCATAATCATGTTTTGTTATGCTTTGTATTGTTTCTGGTCAGGTTTTCAAAGATTAATAACTCATGCACACCGACAGAAACACAAGACACACACACACTTTCTCTCTGCTCATCCACATTATTTAAAAAAATCAGAATTACTCCCAGTGCTAGCCAAAATGGATCAGTCTCCTTCTTCCAGGTCCTTACTCTTGCAATTAAAAAAATTTCTGGGGGGGAAAAACTCTCAGCAAAGTGGGAATAGAGGGATCATGCCTCAACATAATAAAAGCCATATTTAACAAACCTACAGCCAACATCATACTCAATGGGCTAAATTAAAACCATTTCCCCTAAGAACAGGAATGAGACAATGGATGTCTACTTTGTCCTAACCATAGCAATCAGACAAGAAGAAAAAAACAAAAGGCATCCAAGTTGGTAAGGAGAAAGTAAAACTGTTATTATTTGCAGATGACATGATATTGTATATAGAAAACCCTAAAGGCTCCATAAAAAAAACTACTAGATTTAACAAATTAATTTGAAAATGTAGCAGAAAACAAAATTAACACCCAAAAATTGATGTCATTTTTATACACCAACAATAAAATCTCAGAAAGAGAAACAAAAAATTATACTAGGAATTAGTAACATAAGGTTATCTTAAAAGAAATAAAAAATGTATATTTGTAAATTAATATGCTTCTAATTAAATCATGGGTGACAAAGTGCAGCTCACAGAAAATTAAGGTATTTTAAAGTGAATGAAAAGAAAAACAATTCAAAACATAGAAATTTGTGGGATGCAGCTAAAGTAGCACTGTGATAAATTCATAGCTTGAAATTTTTATATTAGCAAAAACAATCTCCAACCAGTTACCTAAGCTTCCACTTTAAGAAACGACACAAAGCTGAAACCTGTTTGGCTTGGTGGATAGAACGTCAGCCTGCAGACTCAAGGGTCCCAAGTTCGTTTCCGGTCAAGGGTATGTATCTTGGTTGCGGGCACATCCCCAGTAGAAGGTGTGCAAGAGGCAGCTGATTGATGTTTCTAACTCTCTATCCCTCTTTCTTCCTCTCTGTAAAAAAATCAATAAAATATATTTAAAAAGAAAGAACACAAAGAGCCCCGGATGGACGGCTCAATGGACTGGAGTGTCATTCCCTAGGCCAAAAGGTTGCAGTTTCAATGCCCAGTCTGGGCACATCTAGGTTGCAGATTTAGTCCCTCATCAGGGATGTAAGGGAGGTAACCAATCAATGTTTCTCTCTCTCTAAAATCAATGAACATATCTTTGGATAAGAATAAAAATAACTATAGAAAGAAAAGTTAAATCTAAAGAAAGAAGAAAATATTAAAGGTTAGCAAATAGAGTAAAACTGAAAATAACAGAGAAAAATCAAACCAAAGCTTACTTCTTCGAAAAGAAATTTTTTATGTGATAAAAATGAACCAAGGAAAAACAAGAAGACATGTTGTCAATATCAGAAATAAATACACGGGGGGATATAACTACAGACACAACAAACATTAAAGAGATAATAAAAGAATATTGAGAGAGACTCTATGCCCATAAGTTTAACAATTTATATGAAAGGACAAATTTCTTAAAAACAAAGAACTACCAAACTCACTCACGAAGAAAGAAAAGTCCCAAAAAGATATAGTTAAAAAATTGAATATGGAGGGGGGGGGGGGGGGGAATATGTGAGAAAAAAAACAACAACACAGCTCCAGGACCAGAAGGTGTTAACTACTGAATTCTACCAAACATTTAAAGAAGAAACAGTATCTCTTTTACATAATCTCTTCAAGAAATTACAATATGTAGATTTCCTGAATAATTTTAAGGCCTATGTCCTCACAGCAAAACCAAAGATAATTCAAGAAAAGAAACCTACAGACCAACATCCCTCATGACAATAAATATAAAAATACTAAAAACTAGTATCTAGCCCTGGTTTGGCTCATGGTTAGAGTGTAGGCCAGCAGACTGAAGGTTCACAGGTTCAATTTCAGTCAAGGGCAAGTACCACTGCAGATTTGGTTCCTGGCCCCAGTCAGGGAGTGTGCAGGAGGCAACATCAATGTCTCTCTCTCTCACACAATAATGTTTCTCTATCTCTGTCTCTCCCTTCCATTTTAAAGAGAAAAGAAAAAAAATCAATGAAAAATATCCTCTGATGAGGAATAGCAAAAAAATAAAGTAGCTAAAGGAACACAACTATATATAAAAATAAATAATCAGGATCAAGTGGGATTCATCTCAATAATGCAAAGTTGCCAATAGGAAAAAAAATCAATATAATCCATCATTTAACTGTCTAAAATATTAATACACACAACCACATCAATTAAGATAAAATATTTCATTAAATTGAAAATTCAACCATTAACCTAATAAAAGGAATCTACTAAAAGCCTATAGCTAACATCATACTTAATAGAGACTGAAAACTTTAACACTAAGATTAGAAAAAATAAAAAGGTGTTTACTCTCAAAAGCAGAAAAAGGTGTTGAGTAGAAAGTGTTTACTTCTACTAGAAATTGTAATGGAAGTTCCAACCAATGCAATAAAGCAAGAATAAAAATGAAAGATACAAAGTCTACCAAGAAAAATCACCAAAAAATTCTTTTAGAAAACTCCACAAACTAAGAATTTTCAGCAAAGTCAAAATACAGAGCTAATATACAAAAGCCAATAATATACAAATAATTGATCAACTGGAATTTGAAATTAGATATACAAGATAATTTACCATAGTACACTCACACACACCAGAAAAAAAACAAAAACCAACCCCCAAAACTGGTATCTGTATGCTGAAAACTACTGATGAAAGAAATCCTAAATAAATGGAGGTAAATGTCATTTATGAATTAGAATGCAATATATTATTAACATGTCGACTGTCTTTAATTTGATCTATAGATTTAATGCAATCCAAGCTGAAATGCCAGCATGCTTTTTTATATCAAAAGCTCATTTAAAAATTCATATAGAAAGTTGATGAACTCACACTACTCGATTTAAAAAATTAGCTACTATAGTAATGATAGCAAATGAATAAAAAAATAGACATCACAGAAATATACAATCTTAGACATACAAAGCATACATACAAATATATATGCAAACTGCACTCATCTGTTTTTCTGAGGTCATGCAAGTACTACTCAATGGAGAAATGATAACCTTTTCAAAATATGGTGCTAAAATAACTGAACAGCTTTTTCAAAAATTATACCTCACGCTTTCTATAAAAATTATCACTAAATGGATCACAAAATGCAAAATGTGGATTTTAAAATTTTCTAGAAAAAAAATCACAGGAATAAATCTGAGTTCTGATGTTTCTAGACAGGACAACAAAAGCATGGTCCTCACAGAAAATTGAAGAATGGACTTTGTCAAAGTTATTGTTTAGCCTTAGCCTCCTCTGAAATCATGCCAACAGAAGAATGGGGTGCAGCTCCAATACAGCCAAGTGGGAAAAGAAGTTCAGGTAAGCCACTAAACCTTTGTAGATAACCCCTGGGAGTTGGAGGACAAAGTTGCCACATTAACACTGAGCAGGGGTGAGACCTGGCTCCCACAAGCCTTCAGTAACAGTAACCACCCAGTTATTTTATCAGGTGCCAATGTCCTTATTTAAGTACTAGAGGCCTGGTGCAGGACATTCGTGCACTGGGAGGGGGTGGGGCACCCCCAGCCCAGCCTGTGCCCTCTTGCAGTCAGGGCACCCCCGGGACTGGTAGGCTCCCCAGGAGCGGGCCTAAGCCGGCAGTCAGACATCCTCCGAGGGTCCTGAGCACTGCTGGGGAGGAAGGAGAGACTCCCTCCAGCCCCGCTGCACTCACCAGCCATGATCCCAGCTTCTGGCTGAGCAGCGCACTGACCACCAGGGGGCAGCTCCCGCATTGAGCATATGTCTATCCTCTGGTGGTCAGTGCATGTCATAGCGACCAGTCATTCCGCTGTTTGGTTGATTTGAATATTAGGATTTTACTATTTAAGGATATCATTTATAGCCAATTAGTATGATCCAATCATTTATATTTAGTGACTGGGAAACATGTTTGAAATTTTGTCAACCTTTATGTTACACTATCTATTTAAATGGCTTCACAACAAAAACTTTCAATGAAAATATTTACTTAAAGATGACTTTACTTTTTTGCTTGAGGAACTGTACTGAAACTATGACTTCTGAAATTCCTAAAATTTTTTATTAGTTTACATAAAGGGCAATAAGCAGATGAAAAGATGGTTGACATCATTAGTGGTCAGAAAAACTATTATGGACGAACTAGAGGCCCAGTGCATGATATTCATGCACTCGGGGGTGGGGGCAGGGAAGGCGGTTCCCTCAGCATAGCCTGTGCCCTTTAGCTGTCTGAGAGCCGTCGGTCAGATATCCTTAGCACTGCTGCTGCGCTGGGAGAAGCTCCTGCCGCTGCCGCTGCACTCGCCAGCCATTAGCCCGGCTTGTGGCTGAGCAGCACTCCCCGATGGAGTGCACTGACCACCACGGGGCAGCTCCTGCGTTCAGCATCTGCCCCCTGGTGGTCAGTGTGTGCTAGATCAATTTGCCTATTACCCTTTTATTACATAGGATTGCATCCCCCTATCTCAGTTCACAGTTGGAAGCCTTAACTCCCAATTGTATATAATAAAAGGGCTCCCAGACTGCGAGAGGGCACAGGCTGGGCTGAGTGACCACCACCTCCCCACCCCCAAGTGCACAAATGATGTGCACCGGGCCTCTAGTGTAACTATATCTACTCTAATAAAAGAGTGAGATGCAAATTGACTGTTCCTTCGTGACACCCACCAGCCAATCAGGAGTGAGTATGCAAATCAACCCAACAAAGCTGGTGGGTTAATTTGCATATACAGTGGCCAGGGGCGGGGCAGGGTGGAGCGGGGCCTATGGCAGCATGGGAAGGTGGGAAGGCGGCTCTGGCCAGAGCAAAGACGGTGCCAGCAGCCAGGGTAAGGAAGGCCCATTCTTGCACAAATCTTTGTGCATCGGGTCTCTAGTTTAGACATAAAACCTTTAGAGAGGTAATTAAGATTAAATGAAGTCATAAAGGTGGGGCCCTAGTTCTACAGAACTGGTGTCCTTACAAAAACAGGAAGAGCCATCAGAGCTCCCTCTCCATGGGTGCAGAGGAAAGGCCACACGAGGATACACTGAGAAGGTGCTCACCTGCAAGCCAAAAAGAGGACTCACCAAAAATCTAGCCTGCTGGCACCATGATGTTAAGACCTTCAGCCTCCAGAATTGGGAGAAATATACTTCTATTATTTAACACATTAAGCGCCACGTCAGTCATTGGTGACTGACACTATCCTTTCCATCCAGACCGGTCAGTCACTGGTGCTGCCAACATATCAGTGAAATGGGTATCACGGGCTAAATGGAGAGGAAGACAAAACAGGCTTGGCACTTAATGTGTTAAACCACCCAGACTATGGTATTCTGTTATGCCAGCCCAGTTGACTAATAAAAAAATGCAAATCAAAACCTCAATGGTGTAGCATTTCACATTCACTAGGGTGGCTCCAATCAAACGTCAGGTAGTGAGTGCTGGAGAAGATGTGGAGGACCCAGAACCCTCAGGTGCTGTCACTGGGAGGTGAGATAGCACAGCCACTTTGGAAGACAGTCTGGCAGTTCCACAGTTACCATCTAAGCCAGAAATTCCACTCCTACTAGAAACTCAAGATAAATAAGAGCTTATGTCCAACCAAAACCTTGTAAATGAATGATTAATTAGCACTACTCAATAATAGCCAAAAGATAGCATCCTAAATGTCCACTGACTGATTAATGAGCAAACAAACGTGGTATGTTCAATGAAATATTCTTTCCATAAAAAGGATGAAATATTAATATATGCTATAATATGAACCTTGTAATGCAAAGTGGAAAAAAACAAAACACAATAACAAAAGAACACATAATGTGTAACTCCATTTATTTGAAATGTCCAGAATAGCCAAATTCATAGAAACAGAAGCAGAGTAGTGTGCTAGGACTGGATAGGCCAGAGGGCAGGGAGGTAACATAGCTGAGTGGCATGAGGTTTCTCTCAGAGGGGAAGAAAACTGACTGTGGTGAATGTATCTGTCTATGAATATAATAAAAGCCACTGAATTAATTGTACACTTTTAAAGGGTGAATTATATGACATGCAAATTATATCTCAATAAAGCTGTTTAAAAGCAAAAACAATTTACTAAAGCCTTTCCCTTAAAGGCTTAACCACCCAAAGAGTTTCCTTTGTCCGTGCTCACCTGGGTACCTCTGGCTTAGGGATTCTTCCTCTACGGGCCAGGGCTCTCCACCTCGCTCCAACATTAAGATCACCTCGGGTTTGGTAACGCAATACCCTGTGCATACAACAATTGAAGGGATATTTAGAGCAGATCCATGGGCTTTTTAGTTTCTGAAGGTGGAGAAAGATACAGCAGCAGGAGAAACATAAAGGTACCTGTTTGCAGTTTTTAATGGGAAAGTAATGTCACAAACATCGCTTCTATTTCTCTAAAGGTTTCAGTTACTTGGGCCTCTTAATCAAAAACATTGATCTCTATAAAGGATCCATGTGCTTTGATCATTTAAAAGGCGAGGAAATGTGCCTAAGGGGAGTTGCCGGGAAGGGCTGCTCACCCAGGGAGACGAGGTGGCTGTAGTTCTCCAGCATCACCTCTCTGTACAGGGCCCTCTGCCCGGCTCCCAGGCGCTGCCACTCCTCCCTGCTGAGCTCCACGGACACGTCTTCGAACGACACCGATCCCTGCAATGCATCTTGTTAAAAAGTTCTGAATTATGTGGCAAAGAAAATACCTTTGAGAACTATTTTATTATGTGGCAAAGAAAATACCTTTGAGAACTATTTTCCTATTTACTCTAAAGGCTCAAAAACAGGTACCAAGGATGTCTAATTTTAACTTCATTTGTCTTTAATGTGGAGTTACTCAATTAGCTTCTAATGTACCATAATTCATTTATATTTATGAATTATAGTTTTATTTTTGTTAACCTTTACCCAAGGATATTTTTCCATTGATTTTTTTAGAGTGGAAGGGAGGGAAGAAGGGGGAGAGGAGGAGAGGGAGAAAGAGAAATATCAATGTGAGAAAAACACATCGATTGGCTGCCTCTGACATGCACCCTGACTAAGGCCAGGGATGGAACCTACAACTCAAGTAGGTGCCCTTGACCGGGAATCGACCCATGACCCTTCAGTGCGCAGGCCAACACTCTAACCACTAGGCCAAACAAGCCAGGCCGAATTACAGATTTTTAAGACAAAAAAAAAAAAAAAAATCCAGTGTAAAGAGACTTCTTACAACTCTCCTAAATCCCAAGTGACTATCCTGGGTATCCTAGAGAATTCTAGGATGTTCAATCCCTCCTTGGACATCATTACCATAAATAGTGGGAGTCAAGAAAGATACATGTAAGCTGTGGAGATATCCTACATGATTGAGCTTATGAATACATAAATGTATAAAGATATATAAATCTAGAGCTCATGAAGAGCAAAGAACAACCTGCCAGGGAGGCGGAATCAGGGAGACCAGTGTGAGAGAGCACAATCTGGCCTGAAGTAGCAGCACCCGCTGTAAGGAAAGGGAAGCAGTCACGGCGCAGAAGCAACCACCAACGTGGTAACCACTGACGTAGCCGCCCAGTCCAGCAACGAGCTGCTCCGGGAACACTGGTGCCAAACACTGATGTGGGAACAAAGCAAACCCTGTGCCACAGGCTCTCCTGTGACGGATCTGTTCACGCTGCAGCTGAAGAGTCTGGGAACACAGAGCTGGGACCGTCCCTCACTCTAGGACGCACACAGTGCCAGAACACAGGAAGGAGGCGGAGGATGGAGACCAACACTGGGAGGTAATAGCAGTTTAGGCAGTAACTGAAGTTATCGGGAGTCAAACAGCAACTTGAGCATGAAGGAAATGAGCAAAGAAAAGTACCAAAAACAACATTTGAGGAATATTAAAAGAGGCTGGCAGAGCCCTGCAGTGTTGCTCAATGGTTAGGCCTGTGCACTGAAGGGCCTTGAATTTAATTCCTGGTCAAGAGCAAGTACCTTGGTTGTAGGTTCAATCGCCAGGTCCAATCAGGGGTCTGGTTGGGGCTCATGTGGAAGGCAACCAACCAATCAATGTGTCTCACATTGATGATTTTCTCTCTCTCTCTCTCTCTGTCTCTCCCTCCCTACCTTTCCTTTCCCCTCTCCCTCCCTTCAACTCTCTCTCTAAAAATTAATGGAAAAAATATCGGGTGAGGATTAACAAATAAAAATAATCCTATCTAATTAAAGAGTAATATGCAAACTGACTATCACCCCAACACACAAGATGACTGCCTCCATGTGGTCAAAGATGGCTGCCCCCGTGTGGACAGAAGATGGCCACCACAAGATGGCTAGCAAGAGAGAGCAATTGGGAGGGATCAGGTGTGCAAGGGAGAGCAGTTGTGCATGATCAGATCAGCAGGGGAGGGCAGTTGGGAGGGACAAGGCCTGCAGGGGAGTGCAGTTGGGGGCGAACAAGCCTGCAGAGGAGGGCAGTTGTGGGGACCCAGGCCTGCAGGGGAGGGCAGTTGGGAGGGACTAGGCCTGCAGGGAGGGCAGTTAGGGGCAATCAGACTGGCAGGTAGAAGCAGTTAGGGGCAATCAGGAAGGCAGGCAGGTGAGCAGTTGGGAGCCAGCAGTCCTGGATTGTGAGAGGGATGTCTGGCTGCCAATTTAGGCCAGATCTCACTGCAGTTGGACATCCCTCAAGGAGTCCCAGATTGGAGAGGGTGCAGGCTGGGCTGAGGGACAACACCCCAACCCCCATGCACGAATTTTGTGCACCGGGCCTCTAGTTCATATAATAAAAGTCTAAGCAAACATTACGGCAGAACGAGCAGAAGAACCCGTCGCTACAATGTGCATGACGAGGGGCCAGACGCTCAATGCAGGAGCTGCTCCCTAGTGGTCAGTGGGATCCCACAGGGGGAACACCAGTCAGACAGAAGCCTGGCTCATGGCTGGTGAGTGCAGCAGCAGTGGCGGGAGCCTCTCCAGCCTCCACTGCAGCTCTAAAGAACAGCAAACCCAGTGGCAAGGAGCAGCGAGCAGGCAGGCGGAAGGAGCAAGGAGTCCCGGACTACAAGAAGGTATGTCCAACTGCCGACTTAGGCCCAGTCCCCACGGGGAGCAGGCCTAAGCAGCAGGCAGACATCCCCTGAGGGGCCCCAGACTGCATGCGAGAAGGCATAGGCCAGCCCTGCCCCAGTGAACAAATTTCATGCACCGGGCCTCTAGCAATAAACAAAAAGCACTGGCAGAAAAAATATAGGCCACAAAGCCAGAGAACTTTTTAAAAAGTAATGATAGATGCATGAGAGAGCAGAGTCTTGAAAAATGAAAAATGGAAAGTTTCCACAAGTCTTCAAAGGGGCAGGTGGTGAGAAGCAGAGAGTTGCTATTCAAGGAGCATAAGTTTCACTTCTGAAAACATTACGCTCTAGAGAACTCTGCACAACAGTGTGCCTCTAGTTAACACTGAATTGTACACACAGAAATGTGCTGAGAGTGGATCTTATCACAATTAAAAAATAGAAAAAAAGGGAAAGGAGATTAAGAGATAAGAGGACAGACACAATCCAATTACATGTTCATTCATGTCTTCATCACTGAGTGAATACCTCCTCTGTGTGAAGCTCAGAACTAGTAGCTGGGAACTAGGTAAAACAAATGCATACAAGAACAGGAACACTTCTCATTAAATTTATTTTAATCTAAAAAAATTAAAGAGCCGAAACCGGTTTGGCTTAGTGGTAGAGCGTCAGTCTGCGGACTGAAAGGTCCCAGGTTCGATACCGGTCAAGGGCATGTACATTGGTTGCGGGCACACCCCCAGTGGGGGGTGTGCAAGAGGCAGCTGGTCGACGTTTCTCTCTCATCGACGTTTCTAGCTCTCTATCCCTCTCTCCTCCTCTCTGTAAAAAATTAATAAAATATATTTTTAAAAATTAATTAATTAATTAATTAATTAAAGAAAATATTAAAGAACATTATAAACTGATGAACCAAAAGACAGATATAAAGATAGTAAAGCAACAAGCAGACTGTCAAATTACAGCGGGGAGGATAGGGAGATCTGGGGGAGATAAGAGATCAACCGAAGGACTTGTATACATGCATATAAGTACAACCAATAGACACAGAACTCTGGGGAGGGAGGGTATGTATGGGACGGGGGGAGCAATGTTAAAATATGTACACAGATAATTTAATAATAAAATAAATTAATAAATTAATAAAACAATGTATAACAGTTAAAAAAAGAAAGAAAGAAAGAAAACTTAACTATATTTTCCAAAACTAAAAAATTAGTAATAAAAATGAAATTTTTTTTCATTTTACTAAGCTTTAATATTTGGCTTAATATAATTCAGGTGAACTTTTTTTTAATTAAGCTAACAAGTGATTTAGGTTAAAATGTTGAAGAGGGATCACAGAAAATTATCTTCTCCATTTAAAGCAATGAAAAAACTGGCAAAAATTATAGAAGTTGGCAAAGGCAATCTGTGGAAATATACAAAGAAAATGGCTAACTCACAGTAAGAACAATATTGTGTCCTTTTAATTTAGCCCTCGCTCTCCAACTCTCCAGTAGTTTGAAAACCAACCAGCAACCAGCAGCCTGGCAACTATAAGGGGGTTGGGTTTCCATCAAATCAAAACCTCATTCCCAAAACCTATCCTCCTCAGACTATTCCAAAAAATTCAAGAGGACAGAACATTTCCAAGTTCATTCTATGAAGCCAGCATTATCCTAATCCCAAAACCAGAAAAAGACAACACAATGAAAGAGAATTAAAGGTCAATATCCCTCATAAACATAGATGCCAAAATCCTCAACAAAATTCTAGTAAATCGGATCCAGCATTACATCAGAAAGATCATAAACCATGACCAAGTGGGATTTATTCCAGGAATGCATGGATGGTACAATATCTGCAAATCAATAAATGTGATACATCATATAAACAAAATGAGAGACAAAAAAATCATATAATCATATCCATTCATGCAGAAAAAGTATCTGACAAAATCCAACATCCTTTCTTGATAAAAGCTCAGCATAGTGGGAATAGAGGGATTATATCTCAACATAATAAATGCCTTATATGACAAACCTACAGCCAACATCATACTCAATGGGCAAAAACTAAACTGATTCCCCCTCAGAACAGGAACAAGACAGGGATGCCCACTTTCACCACTCCTGTTCGATATAGTACTGAAAATGCTAGTCATAGGTTCCAGCACCATTTATTGAAGTGGACCCAAACCACTATGCTCAATATTTGCCAAAGGAGGCATGAACACTGATCAGACAAGAAGAAATAAAGGGCATCAAATTGGAAAAGAAGAAGTAAAATTGTCCTTATTCACAGATGACATAATACTGTATATAGAATACCCCAAAGACTCCATAAAAAAACTACAAGACCTAATCAATAAATTTGGCAATGTAGCAGGATACAAAATTAACACCCAGAAATCTATGGCCTTTTTACACACCAATAATGAACTCACAGAAAGAGAAATGAAAAAAAACAACCACCATTTACCATCGCACCAAAAATATTAAGATACCTAGGTATAAACTTAACTAAGGAGGTAAAAGTGATACTCGGAAAACTACAGAACACTGAAAAAAGAGATAGAGGAAAACATAAACAGATGGAAGAACATACCATGTTCATGGATTGGTAGAATCAATATCATTAAAATGTCTATACTATCCAAAGCAATCTATAGATCCAATGCACTCCCCATTAAAATACCAATGGCATATTTCACAGACCTAGAAAGAACTCTCCAAAAATTCATCTGGAATAAAAAAAGACCCTGAATAGCTGCAGCAATCATGAGAAAGAAGAACAAAGTAGGTGGGATCTCTATACCAGACATCAAGCTTTATTACAAAGCCATTATTCTCAAAACAACCTGGTACTGGCACAAAAACAGACATATAGACCAATGGAACAGAATAGAGAACCCAGAAATCAACCCAAACCACTATGCTCAATATTTGACAAAGGAGGCAAGAATATACAATGGAGTCAAAACAGTCTCTTCAATAAATGGTGCTACGAAAATTAGACAGATACTTGCAAAAAAAAATGAGCTAGACCACCAACTTACACCATACACAAAAATAAACTCAAAATGGATAAAGGTTTTAAACATAAGATGGGAAACCATAAAAATACTAGAGGAATCCATAGGCAGCAAAATCTCAAAATATGCCCAAGAAATTTCTTCACGGATACAGCTCCAAGGGCAATGGAAACAAAAGAGAAAATAGACAAATGGGACTACATCAAAATAAAAAGCTTTATACAACCAAAGAAACCATCAACAAAACAAGAAAACCCACTGCCTGGAAGAATGAATTTGCCAATGTTATCTCCAATAATGGTTTAATCTCCAACTTTTACAGGGAACTCATACAACTTAACAAAAGGAAGATAACAACCCAATCAAAAAATGGGCAACAGACCTAAAAGATACTTTTCAAATGAAGGCAGAAGGAAGGCTAAGAGACATATGAAAACATGCTCAAAGTCACTAATAATCCTAGAGATGCAAATCAAAACAACAATGTGGCATCAGAATGGCTATCATCAACTAGTCAACAGAAGACAAGTGCTGGCCAGGAACCCTTGCTCACTGCTGGTGGGAATGCAGACTGGTACAACCACTGTGGAGAACAGTATGGAGTTTCCTCAAAAAACTAAAAATGGAACTCCCAATTGATCCAGTGATCCCACTTCTAGGAATATATCCCAAGAAACTAGAAACACCAATCAGAAAGGATATATGACCCCTATATATGTTCATAACAGCACAATTTACCATAGCTAACATTTGGAAACAGCCTAAGTGCCCATCAGCAGATGAGTGGATTATAGAACTGTGGTACATCTACACCATGGAATACTATGCTGTGGTAAAAAAGAAGGAATTCTTACCATTTGCAACACCATGGATGGACCTGGAGAGCATTATGCTAAGCAAAATAAGCCAGTCAGAAAAAGATAATATCACAAGATCTCACTCATATATGGAATATAATGAACAACACAAACTGATGAACAAAAACAGATCCAGAGACAGAGAAGCATCGATCAGACCATCAAACCTCAGAAGGAAGGTAGGGGAGGGTGGAGATAAGGGGAAGAGATCAACCAAAGGACTTGTATGCATGCATGTAAGCCTAACCAATGGACTTGTATACCACGGGGGTGAGGGCATGAGTGAGGGTGTAAAGGGGGAGGCAATGGGACTGTAAGGACACATATGTAATATCTTAATCATTAAAGAAAAAATTTAAAAACAAAAACACCTCATTCCCAGAAAACTGTCATCATCTGGTGTATTTGGTGGTTGCCTGAAAGACCCTGCTTACAAGGAAGTCTTTATTTGAGCTAACTTGGAGCTTACATAGTGGGAACAGACTATCTTCAGAGCATCTGTCAAAACATTGAAAGGCAAAAAACAAACACTGAAAGGCATCTGTTTAACTTAGTGGCTACCAGAAGTGGTGAATAATAGCAGGGGCAAACAATGACCAATCAAGAAGCTTAAAAGGAAATGCTAGGGAATAAAATGTCAATAAAGATTCCATAGCCCTAACCAGTTTGGCTCAGTGGATAGAGCATTGGCCTGCGGACTCAAGGGTCCCGGGTTCGATTCTGGTCAAGAACATGCACATTGGTTGTGGGCACATATCCAGTAGGGAGTGTGCAGGAGGCAGCTGAATGATGTTTCTCTCTCATCGATATTTCTAACTCTGTATCCCTCCTCTTTCCTCTCTGTAAAAAATTAATAAACTATATTAAAAAAAGATTCTGTAAAGCCCCTGTATACCATATTCCTGAGAATCTGGAAGGCCACTTACATGCAGTTCGTATTTACGCAAAGTAATTCATATTTATGCTGAGTAATTTTGAGGATATTCAATTGATCCATCAGAAAAATGTCTTAATTCAACCCCTGTGTCTGAGTTTCTGAAAACTAGTACTGATTGAGTTTACATATAGCATTAAGTCTTCCACTTTCACTGAAGAACAATTAGAGACAATATTCTATGTTATTTCAGGATTATATTACTGGAAAGTTGTTAACTAAAAAAGATGCCTACTTGAAAACAACAAAGATATTTTTTATCTTCAATTTTCTTTACAATATGGGGAATCAGTCTGCTTTATCTCCTCACCAATGTCAGCCTTTAAGGAAGTATTGTCTGACATTCTGACAGATATCAGAACCCTCAGGAATAAATTTCTGCATATATCCACATGCCAACTTTGTTCTGCTATTCCTCTGTATTTCTATATCTTCTCTGAATGCACCTGGTCCATTTCTATTTCTATTTTTCCATGCTACCATAGAAACACTTAAGCCGTTATAAAATCCACTGTAAAATAAATAGGTTATTAAAAATTGAACTCACCTGAGCTTTGTACATTTTCTGCTGCTCCTGCAGGAAGGTAAAAAACTGTGAAGGTTTAGCTAGGGAAAAGGGAAGAGAAATGGGTCATGAGTAACCTGGTCTGCCTTACAATTCCTACATTCATCTGCCTAAAAAAGCTCATAACGCCGGAAAAAGGCTCCCGATGGAGAATGTCCCTTTGACATTCTTTTTCTATTATTGATTTCAAAGAGGAAGGAAGAGGGAGAGACTGAAACATCAATGATGAGAGAGAATTATTGACTGGCTACCTCTTGCATTCCCCCACCAGAGATCAAGCCCACAACCTGGGCATATGCCCCCCCAACCAGGAATCGAACCGTGACTTCCTAGTTCATAGGTCCATGCTCAACCACTGAGCTACACCAGCTGGGTCCCTTTGACAGTCTTGAGAAGGAACAGCAAAAACCACACAGAGGTAGCAGCACATGAAAAACTGCATCTCTGGGATGGTCACATGGGCTTAATTTTGCCTTTTCATTAAGTAAACTGCTTTTTGTTAATGAATGAACAATTTATGCTCCCTCCTAATTAAAACAAAACAAAACAAAAAAAACATTTAAAAAGTAAATAAAGCAGAAGACTTGTTAAGGAAATTCAGGTGCACCAGAGGCGAAGCCCTCTACTTTCATTAAAACTAATGTCAAAAAACTACTCTGGCTGGATTATTAATCAACTTCTTGTCTTTACAGCTTCTTCTCCTCAGAAAACTCTAAAATATGATGGGACATTTTATGTAAGAAATCTATTCTTAAACTTTTTGCTCTAAATTGGTTACAGTTTCTAAAAAGACCTTTTGAGAAGATGGTTATAGCACTTAGCTGTGTGAGGAAATAGTGCTGTGTTGCTGCTATTGGATTCTGCTCTGGGTGACAAAAATCATTCATTTGGGGACCAATCACTTTGGATTTTCAAAAGTGGCCAATATAGAAAATCCTTCTACGCTCGCTCTGAGATCTCTATGTTCAGGAAAGAGGGAGCATCTGCATAATTCTAGATGCAACGTGTGGTGATGGATGGGGAATAGAGCCGCTCAGAATCTGGAGTGAGGGCAGAATAAAGGAAACCTGGCGCTCAGGATTTCATCAGCTCTGGCAGGTCACACCTTCCCTGCACATCCGTCACCAGCCATCCACTGAAGGGCCTTTTCCTGTGCAGCTGGACACCACCCATCCCTCTCAACACAAGCCTCCCCGCTCCCAGTTCCCCCCGTCACACAGTCTGTGACGGCTTTTGGCTGTGGCAACGTCACCCAGTTTGACTCATGCTGCACAGGCACCAAGACCTGCTTCGAGTGGAGCAAACCAGCATCCGCTCCTTTCTAGAAATGTCTGCCTCAGCTCTGAAGTTCTGGGGAAGGGTCTGTCAGGATGGCTGTGTTTCTGGGACTCCCTCTTTCCTGACTTCAAAGAGTTACTTTGCTCCAGAGGAAGGTGACCTGAGCCCGCGAAACAAATGCACTTTATCTGAAACCGTCCTCCAACATTCTAAACCTGACCCTTTTGGAATTCACTGAAAATGTACTAACCAGTACGGCAGCCATTAGCTGCTCGCAACTACTACATCGGAAATGTGGCTGCTGCCACAGGACAAAGTCCTATTTTGACTGTACTGAATTAGATCAGTAACAGTAACTTCACCTCCTTTTCTTTTCACTGGCTGCGGGAACTTTTTAATGACGTCTGTATATTATATTTGCATTATCTTTCTATTGGCCGCCACCGCCAGACTGGGCCTTCGGGGACGGAGGCAGCCTGGACAGTGCAGGAAGCCACAGAGCCCCAGCGGGCCCGGGCTCTGGAGAAAACCCAGGAACCCCAGGATATTTACCCAGCGGTGAGGTCCTGTCCCCGCTCACTTCACAGCCATGTCTCTGGGAAGCTGGGGACAGGCTACCCTTCTAAGTGCTCCAAACTCTGGGTTCGGGTCGGGAGGATTTTTACAAGAGCAAGAAACAGGGGGTAAAATCTATATTTGCACCCTACCTCTCTCCGCGGCCAGCTCGTGCATCATCCCGCCCCCAGGAGAGTCCTGTTCCTTCTTAACACGGCACGTCCACGCGGAGCTGTGGGCTTGCTGTCAGCGCTCACTGAAACGAAAAGGGAACAAAGTGTCTGGGGAGCCATTTACACAGTGACCACACGGCATTTGGCAACATGTTTTGCAGATGACACCTTACTCGGTTCTCAGAGTAACTGCACCAACTAGGAGTTCGCTGTGAACCTCAGGAGGGTGCGCTGCCCTCGCGCCGCCTGCAGTCCCCACGCCCGCCGCACGGGGCGTCCTCCCCCAGGAGGACTCAGTCCCGCCCGCGCCGCGGAGCCGGTGGCGAGCCCCGCAGCACCCGGGCCAGCGGGAGGGGGGGCCCACCTGCAGAACCCGGGCTGCCGCTCCCGCAGGGGCTCCGTGCGCCCTCCCAGGTGCACAGGCGCGGCTTCCGCACGCACCGGAAGGCGGCGGGGAGGGGGCGGGGCCGGCGAGCACCTGCGCAGAGTGACTGCTGAAGGCCCTTTCCGGGAGGCCTGCTCCGTAGGTCCACACATTCAAGACTACATTTCCCATGAAACCTTGAGCCCAAAGGAAGTAATTTTTGAAGCATTTCCGCTTCAGTAGCCCCAGGTGCCTGACTCTGGAGACTTCCTTGAATCCACAGCAATTTGGGGTTAGACTTTAGGGCCTGATAACACGTTGCCAAGTGTGATACTTGATGGGATCCGGGTTAGAAAGACAAAGAGCCACAAGAGACAACATTTGTGCCAGAACGAATATGAACCAGATATTAGAAATATTAAGGGAAATTACCATTACCTTGGTTAGTGTGATAATACAAGGGTGGACAAAAGTAAATTATTAATAATAAATAAACAATAATTAATAATATAGGAATAAACTTTTGTGTACTCTTCACTGTAAACTTATTTTTGCCCACCCTTGTATTTGGACTATGCAGGAAAATGCCTTACTTTAAAGGTACATACTGATATAGTTATGTACCTATCATATATTTATAATTTACTTTTTTTTTAATATATTTTATTGATTTTGTACAGAGAGGAAGGGAGAGAGATAGAAAGCTAGAAACATCGATGAGAGAGAGTCATCGATCAGCTGCCTCTTGCACACCCTCTACTGGGGATGTGCCCGCAACCAAGGTACATGCCCTTGACCGGAATCGAACCCGGGACCCTTCAGTCCCCAAGCTGACGCTCTATCCATTGAGCTAAACCGGTCTCGGCATAATTTACTTTTTAAAAATTAAACAAAAAAGAGAAAGCAAATATGTTAAAAGATTAAGACTCATTAAGCCCTAACCGGTTTGGCTCAGTGGATAGAGAGTTGGCCTGCGAACTGAAAGGTCCCAGGTTTGATTCAGGTCAGGGGCACATACTTTGGTTGTTGGGAACATCCCCAGTAGGAGATATGCAGGAGGCAGCTGATTGATGATTCTAACTATCTCTCTCCCTTCCTCTCTGTAAAAAAACAATAAAAAATATTTTTAATAAAATCCCCAATCTCCTTCCATCTCACCCTACACCATGTCTTTTACTGTTTATTAAAAAGAAATTCAAACACTCTGAATAGCAGAAATAGTAAAATGAGCAACATTCATACATACTGCATAGCAGAGATTGGATTTTGCTTTATCAAAAGCTGTCATGTGGTCTTCCAAAAGCAGATATATCATTTTGCATTCTCACCAGCAATGAAAGAGGGATCTCCTGCTCCACATCCTCACCGACATTGTGTTGCCAGTGTTTTGGATTTTGGCCATTCTAGGTGTGTACTGGTATCCTGTAATTTGCGATTCTATGATAACACCTGATGCTGGGCTTCTTTTCATCTTCTTTTGTGAGGTGTATTTCTGTTCAATTCTTTCACCCCATTTTGTATTGGGTTCAACATCTTATTTCTGGATTTTAAGAGTTTTTTGTATATTTTGGATAAAATTTCTTTATTAGATATATCTTCTGCAAGTATTTTCTCTGAGTGTGATTTGTCTTTTCATTCTCTTCATTTTTTCCACAGAGCAAAAGTTTTTAATTTTAATGAAGTCAAATTGATCAATTTGTTTATTCATCCTATGTAATAAAAGCCTAATATACAAATTATTCCCTTGGGTGGTTGTTCAATCAGGAGTTTGACCAGGAGATCGGGAGTTCAACCGCTTGCTATGATGAGCACTGGCCACCAGGGGCAGCGTGGAACACAGCAGGTGTCAGCTACGAGGCACCTGGGTGGGGGTGGGGCCTGCCACCTCTCGCTGGCTACCTGGGGGCGGGGGTGGAGGGTGATGGGAAGGAGGTGTGGTGAAAATGCAGGGTGTCACAGAGTTTGCTCTACCCCTGCTACCCTCCCCTGGGACACCAAGGCTTCAGGCCAGAGAAGCCCTCACGCTCAGGTACCAGGCGCCTGTGGCGTCTTCCCGGTGAGCCCAGGCCACAGCCGCGGGGGCCGGTCAAGCTCTCCGTGGGTTCACCCAGGAGCCAGTCTGCAAGCCTGGCTGGGAGACAGCGTGCTGCCCGCCTGGCTTCTGTGCTGTGCCCCTGGCCGGCCAGAGGCCCATGCTGTGCCCCTGCCGCGCTCACCGCATCTCCGCATGGGGGCTCGGGCACCGTGACTCAGGCAGAGGGGGCGCGCGGGGCCGGGGACTCAGGTGCTGCCCAGGACCCAGAGGGCATCTGGGACCTGCCCTTCCACACGAGATGCTCACGCTTGATCACCGGCCAGGTCTAGGGGCCGCACCGGGGCCCGAATTTCTGTGCACTGGGCCTCTTAGTGTTAAAATAATTTCTTAGCAATATAGTCCCTGCATTTTGTTTCCAAATGTATGTGTGCCAACATAATTATTTTTAATATCAAGTATCTATTTTCCAGGAAAAATAAAAGGTTTGACTTACCAAAAATTCACAACTGTCCTGGCCAGCGTGGCTCAGTTGATTAATCATTACCCCATGCATAAAAAGTCAACAGTTCCATTCCTAGTCAGGACTCATGCCCAGTTTTGAGCTCCATCCCTAGTAGTAAATGTTTCTCTTTCACATTGGTATCTCTCTCTCTCTCTCTCTCTCTCTCTCTCTCTCTCTCTCTCTCTCTCTCCCTCTCTCTCTCTCTCTTTCTCTCTTTTCTCTCTTTTCCCCTTCCTTTCTCTCCCTCTCTCTCTCTAAAATCAATAAAAACATATTTTTAAATAACTGTACAAGAACATATTTATTAAAGAAATAAGGCTACATATTCATTAGACATGTTTTTATTCCCCATGTAAATGAGTATAATTAAAGGTTTCCAAAGGTACATGTTTCCATACATTTAAAAATTAAATATTAATTAAAGACTGTGACATTACTCTGATCAGAAGAAATTAAGCTTCTATTAGCTGCTCCACAATTACAGTATAATAGTAAATAATGGCTTAATTTTGAATTATCACAGTTTTAAAATCACAATGCACATCTTATCAAAGCTGCCAATTATGTAAATTTCTCTTGCTTTCTTTTAATCATGTCTATAACAACAGATATAGATGCAAAATGTTATTAACATACCTGTCACGCAGCAATATACAGAAAATGGTCTCATGTCACTTTCATCTGACTTGATTGAGTGAAGCTCTGAAGAATTCCCTCGGGACATGTGGGCTCTTCAAGGCTTCTCATAGGGAGCCACAGGAAATGCTGTCTGTCAGAAAGGAGGAAATAGAATGAATTCCTCAGTATTTTCAATTGCGGAAAAATATTCTAAATCGTAATTAGTACATATAATACATGTCAAGAGAATAGTTGAACATAGCTTAAAATATAAAATTCAACTTTTATTAATGTGCATGAAATTAGATTTCATTGGCTAGAAGAAAAAATAATGTATTTTTATGAAATGTTATTGCAATAAAAGGAAAATGAAATTACCTAGTCAAATAAAATGTGTCTCATTTTTAAAAAATATATATTTTATTGATTTTTTACAGAGAGGAGGAGAGAGGGTAGAGAGTTAGAAACATCGATGAGAGAGAATCTTCGATCAGCTGCCTCTTGCACACCCCCTACTGGGGATGTGCCCGCAACCAAGGTACATGCCCTTGACCGGAATTGAACCTGAATCGAAACTGGGACCCTTCAGTCTGCAGGCTGACACTCTATCCAATGAGCCAAACGGGTTTCAGCAAAATGTGGCTCATTTTAATATGATAAAGTAAGCACTGCAGTCAATGTGAAGGCTCTCTTACAAAAATAATTAATATAAAAGCACTTATTCAAAAGAATAAGTGATTTTACAAACCAACCACTATTATTTATTAAGAAAATTTAAAATTGAATTAAAAGTCCTTAAATATTCTGTAAACCAGGATAAAAATAATTTAGATTCAAAGCAAGAAAATAAATATTTATAAAAATTATGTTCTTACATCATTTTAATTTGTTCTGATTCATAATGTGAAAAAGAAAAGAAAAATGACACCTATTACAAAGTGCTCCTGTTGGCTAACTAGGCTTAGATTTAAACAAACAAAAAACAAAACAAAAACAGAGCCTAGCAGCCATTTCTGCACACGGGCCTCTCACACACACTGCACTCCGCTGAGAAACTGCACTGGACTCCGGGCCTCTGCCTTAAACTGCCTGCTTTTGCACTGAACTGCCTGCCTGTGTTATGTGTCTGCCCTCTGAGCCAGTCCTTAAACCAGTAAGTTTCCTGGAATTTTATTTCAACCAATAAAATTGAACCTTTACCCATCCAATTAGAGGTGCTCTATTCTAACCAATCAGGACGGTGTTTTTTGGACTAATTGAAATGAGAGGATTTGAAACCCTCATCTCCATGAGGCCAAACTAATCTGAGACCAAGGGGAAGGGGACTTCTGTCCATACAACCCAGCTCCCCTTTGACTCTGAGATCCCACTTTCCTTTTCCATCAAAAAATGAAGACTGGTGTTCCCTGGAAGATGTGAGAGCAGAATGAGCGGAGCAGAGTGGAGCGGACCACAGAGGAGCGGAGCAGAGCAGAGCTGTCTAGTCGGACAGGGGCCTGGTCCCAGGTCCTCCTGGCCCCAGAGCTGTTCTATAGCTGTGCTGTTTTCGCAGCTCTGCTGTATCACAATTGAGTTATTTTGCAATGCATAAAGCTTCCTTCTTCACCACACCCTAAACTGGGGATTCTTGTTGGCATCAAATTGGTGCCAATGACCATCTGTTGACAATAATCTAACCACTGTTTTCATTTATACCATGAAATGGTTTGCCATATACAAAGTATGTGGTTGAGCAGAAACCGGTTTGGCTCAGTGGATAGAGCGTCTGCTTGCGGACTGAAGGGTCCGGGTTCGATTCCGGTCAAGGGCATGTACCTTGGTTGCGGGCACATCCCCAGTAGGGGGTGTGCAAGAGGCAGCTGATCGATGATTCTTCTCTCATCGATGTTTCTAACTCTCTGTCCCTCTCTCTTCCTCTCTGTAAAAAAATCAATAAAATATATATTTAAATTTGAAATTGA